AGTGACCTCGTTCAGTTCAGTTTATTGAGGGAAATGTAGGTCTTCACCTTTGAACTCCCTATTTGTTTACAAGCAACTGCAAAATCTCAAAAACTCGAAAAGGTATCATAAAGGAACAAATAATCGGAAAAGCGTCAGGTCTGTACAGACAAACAAACTGCCTCGAATTTTAGTGGTACGAGCAGTTGTAGAGCTGTCATTTCGAGTGCAGCGAAATAAATAATATATCCGGTGACAAAATTTGCATATGTGCATGTCAGTAGGCGTTGGCGATGGGTTGGCACAATAATAAACTCAGTTGAAAATGTTACTGAAATATAACAAGTAGTATTATAGTAACGGCTTTTGTCGAGGTTACAGAGATCGGGGTGGTAATTTAGTGGACACTGCTACACAAATCCAGCTTCCTCTTAAAGACCTCGACGGAAGCAGACATAACGACATCCACAGGCAGGGCATTCCAGGCTTCTAGCCCTCTGTTGGAGAAGAAGAACTTTCGTGTGTCCAGTGTGGCCCCTGTCACACGTAGTTTGAATGGATGGCCTCGTAGATTTGTGGTGGTTGCTAACTCGAAGAAGTCCCCCGGTACGAGGCTGCAGTCCTGACCGCGTATGATACGGAAGGCTTGTATCAGGTCACCCCGTAACTGCCTGTAACTCAAGGGAAAGAGATCAAGGTTAGCTAACCGCGTTGCATATGGTAGTGAACCCTGTACTGCCACAAGTTTCGTTGCACGCCTTTGAACCCTTTCAAGGATGCTGAGGTCCTTCGCGGTCCAGGGTCTCCAAGCTTGGATAGCAAATTCTAGTTGCGGACGCACAAAAGTTCGAAAGACTTTAGCGAAGCAGTCTTCATCAAAGGCAGAGAAAGCCCGCTTGACAAGGTAGAGGACTGACATTGAAGACTTGGCTATCTTCGTGCAGTGCAGCGAGGGTTTGAGCGAGGTCGTAATCCATACTCCCAAGTCCTTCTGCGAGTCCACTTCTTGCAGTAGTATACCATTTAGGCAGTAGGCCATATGGTTCGGAGAGCGAGCTCTGCCGACTCGTAGAATATTGCACTTTTTCTCGTTGAACGGCAGAAGCCAGGCCTTTGACCACTGTTGGAGTCGGTTTAGGTTCGCCTGCAGATGCTCTTCGTCATCTGCAGTTCGAATGACGCTCCAGAGCTTAATGTCATCCGTAAACATGGCGACACCACAATCCAGTTCACTTACGCAATCGTTGACGTAAATGATGAACAAGGTAGGACCAAGAACTGAGCCTTGGGGAACACCGCTTTCAACGGCAACCTCCGTCGACTTCTGGCCACCGACATGGACAGTTTGACAACGGTCTAATAGGAAGCTTTGAATCCATTTTAAGAGGTTACCCCTAACGCCTGTTCGGCTCAGTTTGTGCAGGAGTCGCTGATGTGGGACACTATCAAATGCCTTTTTAAAGTCGATATAGACTATATGCAGCGCATTGCCTTCATCAACTGACCGAGTCCAACGTTCCAAACAATTGAGCAAGTTAGTCACGCAAGACCTGCCACTACGAAACCCATCCTGCGCATCAGATAATAAATTATGCTGCCCTAGGAAGCGCATCAGCTCTCGCTTGATTATTTTCTCCATGAGTTTGCAGCAGATGGAGGTGGGGCTAATTGGCCTGTAATTGTTTGCAGAGGCCTTGCTGCCTCCTTTATGCAGTGGTGTGATCCGCGCAGATTTCCAGTCGGCGGGCAAGCAGCCGGCTTCGTTGCAATATTCCTATTCGCCTCCACACCAAATGAACTATCAGAACTGCGATCGCCATTTTTAAAGGAACCCCAAAGATACAATGGGGTCCAGCACTTCTAGAAATTGTCGAACGAAAGAACATCGAGAATTGAAAGACAGATTCCAACCGCAAAATTCCGAACCAATGCACGAGCAGCGAAGATGCTGACCTTACTTGATCCGATCTTACGGGAGGCTCATCGTAAGTTTCTTTATTACACAACTACTGGTATTGAAAACGAAATCACACACCAGGGTTAAAACGTTATCTTGCCATCGGCTGGGGATCACCGTCCAGTGCAACAAGTGATGCGTTTTCAATGACCATCTGATATGATTTCTCGCCGAATTCAGAATTTGCCGCCATACAATTACCAGTTCCGAGTATATTTAGTGAGCTTCAAAGGGAAATTTCACTATTTTCAACTAACAAAACTCAAAGAGGGTATCGGTATTCACGGCATGGCTCAGTGGTTTGCGTTCCTGCGATTAATCAGAAGCGGGAGTCGAAAATCCGTCTTTGTAGTGAATTGATGTGGGTGACCTCAAAGCACTATATTTCCTAGCAACTATACCGGGACGTTGAGTCAAGCGGAATGCGATGGGATTCTTCCCTAACGTCCTGCGTTGATGGCATACCTGCAGTTCTGAGTACGAACCACGGCTCGTAGTACATGTTGCAGTTCATAGGCGAAGATTCTACGGTTTGAACTTCATCGTAACTCCGTTTTCAAGAACCTTGTTGCTGCAAGTTCGTGGGGTTCTCAACAGCGTTCATGGGCCCTTCGGTACTTGTGGATGGTAAGGGCGATGCATATCAAGCACTGCTTTCATAGTCAACAGCGGCATTTGCGTCTTCAGGCAGACTTCTTGCAAATCCGCCAGAATGCATTTCCCCGTGGTACTTCTGTCATTCGTCCGATAACTTCTGCAGCAACTACACTCACTAATAATTTTCTTCGATGCAATACCTACCAGTAGGAACTTCAGGCCTCAGTTCAGGTATTCCCATTTCCGATAAGTGGTTCAGCAACGAAAGAACTGCGTATGTATAACCGCTAGCGGGATATTATTGATAAAATGTAAGTACAAAAGGGCGCTAGCGCAGTGACTTGACTGCCACTCATAATAGCAGTCGCATTTGGAAATGAGGAATATACTAGGACACTGCTTTTTTGGTTAGATAGGCATGACTTAACTAAACCGATTTGGAGTCCACAAATGCCTGGGACTTCGGGTTTTACTGAGTCCCATTTGACGCCTTATCAAGGGTTTTGCTAAAGTCAAAAAAGAACTACCGAGAATTATTCATTACATAGGGGAGTGAGGAAATTCAAAGAAGTCGACTGACACGTTTCGCGAGATCGGTCTGGAAGGGAACCATGCTGATAAGCGCTCACTACCTGGTCGTTGTCACAAAGTGTTTTACAGAACCAAACGCGAGCACCCGATTCCAATTCTTTGTAGGCTGTCAAACGCTCGACGACTTGGCTTCACTCCATCAGAAAACAAACGGTTCGCCCTCTTAAATGTTTAGCTCCAAATGTCAGGTCCTTGCTGAATAAGGTGCCTTTGCTGAATCACAAACATACACATGTATGATGCCAGTGCTTCCCGGTTGGTTTTTCACGCAAACACAAAACTCTTGACCCCCCCCCTAACGTTTTGGAAGACTGCCAGATTTGGATAATTTTTACTATATACGGGGCTTATTGTTTAGTCCTCCCGTCTTTACGGGTCCCACCAAGAGCATTTCTTATAATTTACCGTTACTTTACACATATTTTTCATAGATGTTTTGGCAGATTTTGAACAATTCATATTGACCCAACTGTGAAGGACTCGGCGCCTTGGTGGGATTCGAACCCACGCAGTAAGTGGGAGGCTTTAGTACAGCCAGCGCTCTAACCACTTGAGCTGCGAGTCCCCGCCGGGCGACGCGAGTTTAATCACACTTGGGTCACGTTAGCCACCCAACCTTGCTGTGTGGGTTGGAATCCCACTGAGGCGCGAGTTTTTCAGTTGCGTCAATATGAATTTTTCAAAGTCTGCCAAAACATCTATGAATTACGTGAGCCTGGTAGTCATCTGGTGGATTCTCGGTGAATTACTTAGGAAATCCTGCTTGGACAGTCAATTTACTGTATCAGATTATGCGAATTCCAGACGTTGCAGTAGGTTGGGCGGGTAAACTTGACCCAAATTTGATTAAACTCGGGTCGTCCGGCAGGACCTCGTAGCTCAAGTGGTTAGAGCGTTGGCTGTACCAAAGTCTTCCCCTTACTGCGTGGGCTCCAATCCCACCGAGGCGCCGAGTTTTTCATGGGTAGATATGAATATGACATTTTTCACACTACCTCGGATGTATCCTACGGCGAACATGCCCATCTTGTATTAAATCATTTCATTATGGATTGTACTACCTTTATAATTCTTAGAATACTGTTCACAATGTCCACTCCACCTGCAAGTTGATGTTACCAGGTTTGGAATGTTGGATAACCTTCTCGCTCAACGTTCGCAATAACGTCAATGGGTCAACTAACTTATCTGTACCACAGTGCAGACGCTTTTCGGGAAGACGCCTGCCCGGGCTTCCAATATACCCAATGCTGTCGGACGACAATGGGGGATCCGCATGGTCCTTAAACAACC